AAGTGGTTCATGATTTTTATGTCATTACTTATTTTGTTAGCTACTGGTTATTTCTCTTTTTTAGTATTTTGAGCCATTTTTATTTATTGAGGTGGGCAATATGTGAATTAGAAGTTTAGTTGTTACATAAATTAAAAAAAACAAATCCAGCTCCAGTATCCTTTATCCAAAACATTTGAGACCTTCTAGTAGTGCTTCAGGTTTCAGAGTTTTTCAAAATTGGAATACACTTTACCAGTTTAATCTTTTGAGGCACTTGAAAAGTTTCAGATTTGGGGCATTTCAACCTGTATTCGCTAAATTAACATCAAAACTCAGTGTTGATTTTAGAAAATATTCTAAACTTCCATCTGTAGGTGACTTTGCAAGTATGGATATTACCTCAATTGATATTATAAATTTACCTTTTTTCCAAATAACTTAGGGATAATTCCTGTCCTGTCCAACCCATAACCTAGCCAGGATTGGGGACCCAACAAGTCACTCATAGACTTCTTAAAAAATTAAGTAAAATGTATGTAAACTTTGAAAATGTGTTTGCTGCCCATGAGCCTGCCTCTCCAGATTGTTAGTTTGTTATTTATATGTGTAATGTATACTAAGAGGTCCTTTTAGAATGAAAAGAATGATACTTTGAGCATTACTTAAGAGTTAAGTGGAAGGGAATACAGAAATAAAAAACTATAAATTATAGAAATGACATCTCTTTTTATAGAGCTGTGAATAATTCAAATTATGGTTGGAGAGCCCTGAGACTACTAGCACGGAGAAGCCCTCACTTTTTCCAGCCAACAAATCAGCAGTTTAAAAGTTTGCCAGAATATCTTGAAAACATGGTAATAAAGCTAGCCAAGGAATTACCAGTAAGTAACATGGATCATTTTCTTTGCATACCTCTTAGTTGACATTATCTTCTTTTAAAACTATCTCTATTTGAGCAAAGAACTAAATTTATCATATGATAAAAATTTTGATCCACAAACTATTTAATTTAGAATGAAATAAAAATGCATGAGTATACATGTTTACTGGAAATACATAAACTCATAAAGTAATTTTCTGTGCAGCATGTAATTTAAAGCAATTTCTTAATACTTTGGGTAAACTACTATTCAACTGTAAACTCAAGATATGAATTTTTCCTGTTTTCCAGCCTATTCTCTTTTATCAAAGACAGGATCCAGGGAGTAGCAGTAGGGAACTTAGAATTTAGCCTTGCCAGGTGTGGTGGCACATGCAGCTCGGGAGACGGAGACAGGAGGATCTGAGTTCAAAGCCAGCCTCAACAATGGCAAGGCGTTGAGAAACTCAGTGAGACCCTGTCTCTAAATAAAATACAAAACAGGGCTGGGGGATTATAGCTCAGTGGTCAGGTGCCCTGAGTTCAATCCCCAATACCAAATAAATAAATAACTTGGCCTATCTTTCTGATCGGTTCTCTTTTCTATATAGTTTTCTAATGGATTATTACAATAAATACAGTAATAATGATACTGTGTGCCTATAATTTAATAAAATTACTCAATGTCAAGGACAGTTGTTGCTCCACACTTACTAAACCTCAGGTATTTTCAGATCAGCTTACCATGCTTTGCACCACTTCCCTTCTGCCCACATTGAAAAGGGGGGTTAGGGGATCCCTTTTCCAACTATTAGGTTTTTGCTTGAGTTAACTCCTTCTGCAGGTGAGGAATGTCCCACTGAACTTACCTGACATTCACATTTAATGCTTTCTCAGGAGGAAGGCTTTGAAGCCCAGTATTCTTAATTCTCACAACCACTTTTACCCAAAGCATCTGTACTAACTTCAGAAGTTGGCATTCTTTTAAATGTTCTTCTTTCTCATTTTTAGCCACCTTCTGAAGAAATAAAAACAGGTGAGGATGAAGATGAGGAAGATAATGATGCTTTACTGAAGGAAAATGAAAGTAAGAATTGAATTTTCTTGGCTAATTTTACAAAATTGGAAAAGATTGGGGTTCTTGGTTGAGAGGTACGTTATTTGATTTGATCTACTTCTCAACTTTTACAAAGTTAGCTCTGCTTCTGACTTTAGTAAGGAATTTAAAATATCACTTTAAAATAATTTTATGCAATAAGTTTTGGAAGTGATTTTTTAAGGAACAGAAGATTCTTAACATTTTAAGGCAAAATACTTACATTTCAAGCAAAAACCATACCTCAAAGAAAGTCATCATAATTACAATAGAGGTAACAGCTTCAGATTTGATTATTGATCAAATGATCATGATTGTAATGGGTATTCAACCCATGGAAAAAATAAATTATCATTTTAAAGTAAAGCTTACTAAAGGTAATAACTCAGTGACTCCTGAGCTTTCCAGTTCTTTTATATATTTAGGATTGCACATGTCATTGTACTTTGTACATAGTTTATATTTTCTATGTTTTCTAGGTCCTGATGTTCGGAGAGATAAACCTGTAACAGGGGAACAAATAGAGGTATTTGCCAATAAGCTGGGTGAGCAATGGAAGATTCTGGCTCCCTACTTAGAAATGAAAGACTCAGAAATTAGGCAGATTGAGTGTGACAGTGAAGACATGAAGATGAGAGCTAAGCAGCTCCTGGTTGCCTGGCAAGATCAAGAGGGAATACATGCAACACCTGATAACCTGATTAATGCATTGAACAAGTCTGGATTAAGTGACCTTGCTGAAAGTCTAACTAATGACAATGAGACAAATAGTTAGCTTCTTTCTTCTTTTCTTTTCTTTTTTATTAAAACTGTGATAAGATTTTGTTACCAAGCAGCATTTGATAAGAGGTCCACTGGTTTTGGTAAACAATAAACATTTTTATAACAGTTGTTGTACAGTTGGCTCGTGCTCCAATATCAATAGCACACACATTGGCTCAGGGCTTGAAGTGAGGGGAAGGATGGGAAGGATGGAAGGGAGGGATGGGAAAATGGCCAGAATTCTGGGTCACAAACTCTTTTTTGTTAGGGTAAATATAATGAAGTGAAATTAGTTTCCTGCATGCTAGTAGTTATAAAATTTAGTTATTCTGAAATCCCAGGATGACAATTTCAAGACCCTCCTTATTTTCATTTATCATATTTATTTTAAAGCAGAGGATCAGCAAACAATGGTCTGCTCACTAAGCGTCATAACTGGAATTTTATTGGTGTCCAGCCATGCTCACATCTAGTGTCTGTGGCACTTGTCACACTACAACAGCATAGCAGTTGCAACAGACAGCTTCTGGCCTGCAAAGCCTATAGTATTTACTATCTGACCTATTAGAGAAAGTGCTTGCAAGCCCCCAACTTTAAAATAAATGAAGTCTAAAACTTTACTCTTTTGTCCTTACAAAAATCATTTGACCTCTTAAGTCTTTATATTATCTGAAGGATTACTGTGAGTTCAAATGAGATGTTATGTGAAAGCACTAGGTAGTAATGGCTAAAGATGTTTTTACTATTCCCACATAAGCATCTCTTGAGGGCTCCAAGATCAGGTCATCACTGTTGATCCTAAAGAAGGGCTACTGAGCGCAGACTCCTGAAAATGCTATTACTTGAGCCTCCATTAGCTATTCAAGCACAGCTCCAATAGTGAAATGGCCTCCGTGTTACAGGGGCATAGAAAATAAGGCACATTCAAGAAACAAGATAATTTTTTCCACACTCTCCCTTATGTGCAAGGCAGAATTCTAAAATAGTCTTACTAGTTAAAACAAATCAACATTGGTATGGATTCAATTCCTACTTAAAGAATACTTTTGGAATAATGCTTTTTTAGATCAAATAAAATGCAATCAAGTTTTTTATAATAACAAGGACATAGAATGTATTAGAATTTTAAAAACTATCTATACAAGGCAAATCTACCTCACCTGGTCTAGTAGTTTAAGTATCCAACAGGTGAGAAATTTTAATTATAACCATTAAATTTATTCCTTCCAAATTTGTTCTAACCAAATGTGACAATGAATTCAAAAAAAAAAACTTCAAAGTCACAGGCATCATACAACATAACAATTCTTAAAATCCTCACCCTTATTCTTCACCACCCCTCCCCCAGCCAAAATAGAAAGTACTGATTGCCAATAGTCAAGAGTTTAGGTGAGGAAACTACAAATAAGTATCCCTGAAATGCTTATTTTGTACCCTAGTATTAGGTTACATCACATTGCTCAGATTTGAGAAAAATGGCCATTATGCTCTAGGAACCTTAATGGTTACCAATGTTCTGCCCTGCAGAGCATTAAAACAACATAGGCAAAAAAAATGAGATCATGATAATCCTCAAACTTTATTATAAATATCTGACTCAAAATCAGACGATTATGTTCATATTCTATCCTTTATCATTTCCTTAGCAGTCAATCAAGATTCCTGAAACTGACTAATTAAACTATTAAAATTTAAGAAACTGATCATCTTCAAATACCCCATACTCTTGGTGTTTTCTTCCATTAACTTAAAAAATCACTAATGTTAAATTTCAAGAAGGACATTAAGACTTTGGGGATTAATGAGAGTTAAAAAACAAATACCAATGAGCCAAGGAATGAACCTGGTAACATCATTGCATTCAGCATGCAAAGAATTCCATTACTCTTATAACTTTGTATTGCTTTTTAAAGGGAATATGGGCAAAGTCTTATTTGGTTTGGGGTAGCACATGCTAGACAAGTGTTCTACTACCACTAAGCTACATCCTCAGCCCAAGAAAAGTACTTTAAATGGATGCTTAACAGCACAGGAATATTAATCATTTTCAGAAATTATATAGTATTAAACATTTGAATCTTCAGCCAAACTCCCAATACTCAAAAGACAAAAGACTTGAGGTCAAAAGCTGTTAATCCCTCCTTTTTTTTTTTTTTATTAAATATCCTCATTTTCTAAAAATAAGCAACCAGAGCTTGTTAACATTTTTTTAAGGTTGATTACTACAAAACCATTGCAAAGTTAAATGTACAAACCATAGTACATCAGAGAGAGACACAATAATAAATGTATAATCAAATGTACTATTATTGATCACAATTTATTTTAAAGTTATGAAAAGCCAGCAACAGTCAGGCTGGACAAATACTTGATTGCACCCATGTTTTCATGGGATGTGGACAGCAGCACTGAGTTACACAATGAGAGCAACACTTCCTTTTCCACCTTCCTGGAAAAATGTTTGTTAGATAAGGCAAAGGATGGGCAGCTACTGAAAGGCGATATGAACCATGCAAGAACAACAAAGAATTGGTAACGGGTGTGCAATAAATTGTTCAATCTTGGGCTGAGAGAGCAAGAAGAAAAACTGCAGGAGGTAATGGGTGAAAGGCATTTCAACTAAGAATTTTTTTTTAATTAATGCAAGAAATAACTTTTAAAGAATGTCTTCCAGCCACCTTTACACAGGGCAGCACAATCCAAGGGTAATTTTCTTTTCTGTAATTTTAGGTTGATGCACAAGTGGTCTGTTTCTGCCCTCTCTCGTTCCACATGAAGGGGGAACAGATAAAACCACCTAAATGTCTTCCTCTAAAGCTCTGGATTATAGAAATGATCAACAAAAAACATTTATTTCACACCTAGGCATAAATAGCTAAACTGAAGATTACTGTTCACTTTCCTCTTCCATTATTTCAACTCTGCGAGGCCCGTAGAGTAAAACATAAGCAATATGCCAGTCTCCACCACCAGAAAGCCGCAAGATATCTTCTGGTGTTACAATGCTGACTTTATCATCATCAAATTTAATCCATTCATCTAAATAACAAGAAAAAGAAAAATAGTATCATACCCAATTCTCTTCAGCATCCCACTGCAAAAACAGTACCAACCTGATGCACAGCAGTACTCTCCCCGCCTGCCAACACCTCCCCAAGTGTCCAGGGACCACCCAGGATCAAGACTACTTGAGGGATTCCACGATGTCACAACTATTTTAATACTACCACTAATGCATTATTTCCCTTTTCCATCCTCATTCTCTCAAGTGTACTTTGGAGTTTCCAGAGGCCACATGATGTGTGATAGTGCAAGAGAAAACTGAATGTAGAACTAGATGAGAATCCAGTGTCTTCTATTAAGACAGCAGACAGACAAAAACTGTAAATAACGTTTCTAATTCTTTGTTTTGGAAAATGTCGGTATTACAACGTTATTTCTATTAATATGAAGTGGGTTTATTACTGTCAATTTTAAATTTCTCAGCTTTAATTGCTAATGTTGAAAATATGAATAAGTAAAACCTCATAAACAAAAGTCCAGGGCCTCTACAGTTACAAATGTAAAGAAGTTCTGAGACTAAAAAAAAAAAGAAACAAACAAAAACAAAAAAGAACCCCACAGTGCTATAAAACTTATAATAAGCAAAGTAGTATTCAACAGTTGAAGAAACAATACACTTTTTACCTTGTTTCCTTTTCACCCATGACACATAATGACCTGAAGAACTAGACCTTCCCTGGTGCGTTAGCACTGCTTGTAAGTCATAGTATCCACAATTATTGGAGCCAATATCTAAAGAGAGATGAATCCAGTATTATCAAACAATGAACAGACATGTGCTTTTCTCAAACAAGGTTATAATAACTCAACAATAACTCAAGTTCAGATTAAAGAAGTACTACTTTATTAGAACCCAGTAAATGTCACTGTCCAAAGTTGAGACTTCATTAGTGATGTTTTAAAAAGTGTATCACCCACAAGTATACACTAAAAAAGTGATTTTACTGTCATATGAAGGCAAATTATTCTTTAAGAAACCTGGCTTTAAAAAAAAATTTGAACACATATGGCAAGACAAATAATTTTACCTTAAAACATAAATACACACAATTAAAATGAAATTTCACTTACCATCTGCAAATGAAAAGGGTTCATACTTAACTTCTTTATGAGGACTACTCTTCTTGTCACCCTGAAGGTGGAAAAAAAATGTTTCAGATAAAATCATTTGGAAATAAAAGCTTAAACTCTTGTTCAATGTTCACTAAGACAAAATGATGATTTACCTTACAAACTACTAATATAACTACAGTTAACATACAGCTGTTAAAGCCAGAGGTCCTGTTGTTAACAATATATAATCTTGTTAAAGTACAATAACAGACTCCCTGAATTTCTGACCAGTGGTTAGCCACTAATGCTAGAACATTCCAGTAAATCTAGCAGTGTACTTAAACATTGTTCTAGGGTAGAAAAGGAAAACCTAATTCTGTAATTTCCCCCAAAATACTATCAAACCATATGGAGGGGGAGGGGGTAGAGAACTACCTGAAAACACACAAGCAAATTCAAATTACTGCAACTTAGATGAAGTCTACTAAGCCATGGCTACTTTCCACTTTAGCTCAAATTAACTTAAATATTTACTGATCAAAAATTTACCTATGCTAAAAGAGTTATGATTACTATATAAGCAAGGTGCTTTAGTGGGAACTCACTGCCTCCACTCATTTTAGTGTATGAAAGAAATTAATCTATCCAGGCCTAGTTAACAAAGTTCTTGAAAACTATAATGGAAACTATAAGACATATAATGGAACACATATAATGTGTTATATATGTGTTATATATAACACATATAATGGAAACATAAAACTATAAGTTCTTGAAAACTATAAGACAGAGTGGCTAGAATTCAAGGGATCCCACAACCAAAAAAATGGCAATTAGGTCACCTAATCCTTTTTTAGAGCAAATACCAACCAAGAATAACCACTAAAAAAGCTATACAAGAATACATTCAGGGCTGGGGATGTGGCTCAAGCGGTAGCACGCTCCCCTGGCATGCGTGCGGCCCGGGTTCGATCGTCAGCACGACATACAAACAAAGATGTTGTGTCTGCCAAAAACTAAAAAATAAATATTAAAATTCTCTCTCTCTCTTTAAAAAAAAAAAAAAAAAGAATACATTCAATTTAAGATCTAAGACAGCATACTGATTCACAATTTGGAATCACTGTGCATTTTCTGTGCAGATCAGAACTGAACTGCTTTTCTTAATGATGACACAGTTTATTATCCTTTTTTCAGTAAAGTGAAAGTTCTTTTTGTTTTAATTCTACATTTCATAAAAGTACATATTTTAGTGCTCAGAATTTATTTTATCTTTATGTAAGCTTGTCTTTTACAAAATATAAAATTAATGGTAATTTTAAAAAATACATTCAAAAACATTGTAGATAAAACAGAATTCTAAATTGTTTAAGTAACCCAAAAGAAAGCAAAAAAAGAAAAACAGCAAAAAACAAAATAGATTTAAATCCTAACATCAAAAGAGGCAACAGCTGCATGACATGTAAATGGTCTAACTATACCAACAGAATTTAACAGAATCTAAATCACCTGTGTTCTCTTACACAGCAGAAAACTAGAATCAAGACATAACAGGAAAATTTCTGAGACATTTCCTTTTGTTGTTGTAGATGGACACAATGCCTTTATTTATTTATTTTTATGTGATACTAAGGATCAAACCCAGTGACTCACACATGCTAGGCAAGCGCTCTACCACTGAGTTACAGCCCCAGATCTTCTGAGACATTTCTAAATAATCCATGATCAAAGAGTAAGACTTGAGATAATTTTTGAAAATACAAGAAAGATAATTTAAATGAAATTAAAATTTGTGGGACACAGTAAAATCACTGTTAAAAGACATATAGTACAAAGTGGGTATAATTTTTTGATGGAAAGTTTAAAATTAATAATGTAGGTTACCACCTGAAAAATGTAAAAAAATAAATAAAATAAAGCAAGGTGAAGAAAAGAAAAAAGGGCTGAAAAAAAATCAGATTAAAAACAAAACAGAAAATCAGCAAAACAGAGCCAGCTTTTTGAAAGATCAATGAAATTAGCAATGCTCAATTGGGGAAAAAAAATTTACACAAATTAATAATATTAGGAATGAAACAGGTTAGATCACTGCACACCCTGCAGAAATTAAAAGGACAGTAAAAATACCAGGGCCAGATATAGTGGTGCAAACCTATAATCCCAGCTCCTTGGGAGACTGAAGCAAGAGGATCTCAAGTTCAAGATCAGCCTGGCAACTTAGTGAGACTCTTCCTGTCTCAGAAATGAAAAATAAAAAAGGCTGGGATGTAGCTCAGTGGTAGAACTCCCCTGAATTCAATTCCCAGTACCCAAAACTAAATAAATAAATAACAGGAACAACTTTGTAGACAGATTTGATAAGCTGAATGAAATTGATCAATTCTATAAAAACAAAAACTACCAAAACAAACCTAACATGAAATACATCATTTGACTAACCATAGAACTATGATTATATTAAGTCTGTGATTTATAAACTCTTGAAAAAGAAATCTGCAGACATGGATTTTAACAATTATACCATTAACACAAATTCTAGACAAACTCTTTCAAAAAATAAGTGTAAGGGGAAAATGAGATAATAAATGAAGTCAGCAAAGTTGAGGTATAAGCTCAATATACAAAAATTGATTATATTTCTATATACTAGCTAGAAACATTTGACAATGAAATTAAGAAAGCAAGCCAGGCACATTGGTATATGTTTGTAATCTCAGCTACTCAGGAGACTGAGACAAGAGGATCACTTGAGCCCAGGAATTTATGAACCTGTTTGGGCAACATAGTGAGACAAAGGAGGGACAGAGGGAGAGCGCCTCAAAAAGAATACAATACTGGGACTAGGGCTGGGGCTATAGTTCAGTGGCAGAACACTTGCCTTGCACGTATGAGGCACTGGGTTCGATCCTCAGCACCACATAAAGATAAACAAAAGGCATGCTGTCCATCTACAACTACAAAAAAATTAAAAAATGAAAAAAAAAGAATACTTAGGAATAGATTTAACCAAAGATATGTAAGACTTGTACAGTGGAAATTATAAAAAAATTTTGAAAAAAATTAAGACCTATTATATACAAAATCATTATCAGTATCAAATACTATATTGAGATGGCAATATTCTCAAATTCCCAGAGTCCATGTGATCCCTACCTAAATTCCAACTTTTTTTTTTTTTTTGAAGAAATGAAAAAAAGTGACTGTAAATACACTTGGGAATATAAGGGACTCAAAATAGCTGGAATATGCATGTAATCCCAGTGACTCAGAGGCTGAGGCAGGAGGATTGCAAATTCAAAGCCAGCCTCAGCAACTTAGCAAGTCCCTAAGCAACTTAGTGAGACCCTGTCTTCAAATAAAATATAAAATGGAATGAGGATGTGGCTCAGTGGGGTTAAGCGCCCCTAGGTTCAATCCTAGGTACCAAAAAAAAAAAAAAACCACCTCAAACAATTTTCAAAAATTACAACTTTTGAAGGTTCACACTTCACAATGATGACAGAGAGACCAATGAAATAAACTCAGAGTCCAGAAAAAAACTCATACATCTATGGTTAATCAATTCTCTATAAAGGTGCTAACATCATTCATTGGACACAGACTAATAAATAGGAGCTGAGATGATGAGACACGTAAAAGATTGAATCTAAACATCACACCATGTAAGTCAATCCAGACTGGACCTAATGGAAGAACTCAAACTAAAAAACACTTTAAAGAAATCATGGGTATGAACTTTCATGGTTGAAATACCATGAGATACCAAAGGCACAAGCAACTATTAAAAAAAAAAAATGAATTTAATTTCATCAAAACTTTTGAAAACTTTTCCTGCAAAAGATCTCTATGTTAAGGGGGTGAAAAGCAAATTACAGACTTGGACAAAATATCTGCAAAAAATAGTATCTAGAATAAAAAAGAAGTCTCAAAACCCAAGAGTAAAAATATAACCAACCCAATTAGAAAACAAAAGAGTCATTTCAGCAAATAAACACATAAAGATATGTTCAATATCACTAGCCACTAGAGAAAGACAAAGATAACACAAGACATCACCACAAAGCTATCCATTCACTAGAATAAAAACAGTGACACCACCAAACAATGTATTTGTGGAAAACTGGGTGAGTCTCACTTACTGTTAATGGGAATATAAAATGGGATAGCTGCTCTACAAAACATCTGGCAATTTCTTGAAAAACTACATGTGTAACTACCTTGCACTCCTGGGCATTCATTCCAGGAAAATAAAAGACTATGTTCACACTAAAATCTAAAAATGAACGTTACGTTAGTACCAGCTTTCTTCATAACAGACAAAAAATGGAAACAACCCCAACATCCTTCAATAGGTAAGTAGTTAAGCAAAACTATGCGTTTTTCACATAGAGAAATATTACTTGGGAGTAAAAAAAAAAAAGAACTACTGATATACACAACAACCTGAATCAATCTCCAGAGACTTGTACTGAGAAAAATCAATCCCAAAGATTACATTTAAAAATGTAAGTTTTGATTTCATTCATACCATTTTTTTTTTTTTTTTTGTACTTGGGATTGAACCCAGGAGCACTTTACCACTAAGCTACAACTTTTTTTTTTTTTTTTTTGAGACAAGGTCTCACTAAGTTTCTGAGGCTGGCGTCAAAATTATTTTAGTATTTCCAGGCAAACCAGTACCATCTACTAAAAAATGACTTAGTTATCAGTGCATATCCATGAACCAATATTGTGCACCTCTCATTCCATCTTAAAAAAAAAAAAAGAAAGAAAGAAAAAAGGATATTTCTTTATCTTATATGGAAAATAATTATACCAAAAATTCTAAGTAAAATTTTATGTGAAGTGCCATGAGGAGATAAATATAAAAGGAAAGAAGCTGCACCTTATAAAGGAAAAAGCTTATTCTACCCAAAAGGACTGGTTTACCAGAGGTAGGGTTCCTGTTTCTTATGCCAGTGTTAATTTTACACTTAAAACTTCAAAGGAGGGCTGGGGTGCATGAATAAAATACAGATATTGTGTCCATGTATAACTAAAATATATCTTTAAAAAACTTCAAAGCTTACACCACTACATGTAGAATGTATATATGTCATAAGTGAAAAGTAGGTTCATTCCATTTTTATTATAGGTTAATAGTCCAAATAATAACTGCTGAGCAATGATTTAAGATTAAAATAATAACATTAGAAATTCAGCAATAGGGCTGGGGATGTGGCTCAAGCGGTGGCGCGCTCGCCTGGCATGCGTGCGGCCCGGGTTCAATCCTCAGCACCACATACAAACAAATGTTGTATCCGCCGAAAACTAAAAAATAAATATTAAAATTCTCTCTCTCTCTCTCTCTTTAAAAAAACAAAGAAAGAAAGAAATTCAGCAATAAGAACCTACTGTATTTGGCTGTTGATTCACTTTTTTATCTTCTAGATCCTTGAATTTTGATCGAAAAGAGATCATTTTCTCTTGAAGTTCTGGTGTACACAGTTCATATACATCCAACATAAGAGGAAATTTAACATCCTATATACCAACAACAAAAAAAAATTAAAGACATAAATAGATTGAAAATATAATAGGTATTTAAAAGAACAAAGTCATGTTTTCATAATTTCAATAAAGCTACAAAGAAAATCTGTAAAAATCATACAGAAGACTCTGCAGTTGAATAAGACCTCTTAGAACTTATTCTCCATTGGTTTCTAACTTTAAGGTAAAACTTTCCAAGTATGTCTTATCATGACATGCTAGCTTATGAAATTGACCACAGAAGAGGTACCAAAATTCATGACAGAAGCAGCAATTCACAATTAATTATTAGACTAGTTGCTGGGAAAATAATGGATCCCCAACACTGGAGTTAAATCACAGCTTTCTTTAAATTTGAAAACAATTTTACCTAGAAACAATTCTAATATAGTTAGTTCAATGACTTACATTAAAATATATTGACATAAACACTAGATACTTAACCTATATTTAACCTCTTATAACACTAAGGCTAAGAAGAAAATGTACTATGTTTTCAGCTCAAAAGGCTAGAATTATATACCTCTCAGAAGGAGCAGGAATTCTGTGGACTTGTAGCAGAGCCACAGTTCAACACAGTGAAATCATAAGGCTGGCTCCAGAAGCATGAGATTATCATTTAAATATTCTTTCAGCACTAGTGATTTGGCTTTCCGTTTACCTGGAGGAAAGGAACTACCTAAAATATAATGCAGTGTGCTTTACGGTCTCCTTTCTCACTCCCATCCCAAACCTACTGAATTGGTACCTAAGAAGTGAAAGAAAGATCTGATCTAATGCAGTGTTTCTGGGGAATACAGGAGATCCATCAGAATTATCTGTGACTCTTTTGACAAATATAAGACCCCAAGTTTCACCCAAAATTTAAATTAGATGTTTGGGGCTAGAGGGAGAAGCCAGTTATTTATATAATTAAGAATAAAAAAGACAGGGACTGAGCACCATGGCACATGCCTGTAATTCCAGCAGTTTGGGAGGCTGATGCCAGAGGATTGCAAATTTAAAGCCAGCCTCACCAACTTAGTAAGACCCTGTCTCAAAAGAAAAAGAAAAAGGGCTGGGGATATGGCTCAATGGTTGAGAGCTCCTGGGACCAAAAAAATTTAAAAGGACAAAAGATAATTCCAATACACATTCTTTGTTTAGAACCACATGTCTAATGTTAATAACTCCCCTAAATATTTCAAAAAAAAAGCTCACCTATCCCTAAAGAAAAAAATAAGCCTATTATAAGTTAGGAGTTACCTTCAAAGAATTTTGTTTTATAGCAAAACTAAAGTTGAACTAACCTTAAGAACTTTGGCATTCACAGATTCCTTCTCTTTATAAAAAAATCGAACCATCTGAATAGTTAAGTAAGCAGGTAGCCGGCTGATCTTGGACTGAGGAGAAAAAAATAGAAATCCTTTATATAGATGAATACCATAGAAGTTTTTAACTCTTTGGTGGTAGAAACAAAGATTGGGTAAAACTGGAAACCTCTCCATAAAATGAAATTCAATTTCAAAAGGAAATGTACAACTTACAGATTTGATATATAAAGCATTTCTTTGCAATGTCGGAGACTGTTTGGTGATTTCTTCCTGAAGTCGCTATAAAAAAAAAAAAAAGTTTTAAAATGACTTCTATCTGCAACATAGAATCACACCTTTAATTCTTTTTTAAAAAAACAGCACTAGGGGGCTGGGGTTGTGGTTCCATGGTAGAGTGCTTGCTTAGCATGTGTGAGGCACTGGGTTCAATCCTCAGCACCGCATACAAATAAATAAATAAATAAAATGAAGATGTTGTGTCTGTCTACAACTAAAAAAAAATTTTTAAATAAAAAATAGCATGACTTAATAGACAACATAGTATGTCAATGAACTTACATCATTAGAAAAAACAATGTGATAGAAGACATTTAGATATTGTTTTTTAAGGCTTCAAATAATTTATACTGTTGAGAACTCCTAAATATAAAATGTTTCAAGTTTTTAACTTATGATCCAAATATTGCTCAGGTTCAGAGAATATTCTATTTTATATAACAAAGTCTTCTGTCATTCCTCTATTATTATCAAAAAACTCAGAAAAATTAAGAGAATGTAGGAACCCTCGTTCTTTATGCTTTATATAAAAAACCTTCCAACATCAATAGTGTATTTTTGAATATGAGAATAACACAGAAATCTCTGTTAATCTAAAGGATGTGAGGAAGTTTTAGCCACTATGCATATCTCAACTAGCACAATCACCTTTCCACTTTTGACAGCCTATGTAACTTTAGGCAAGATATTAATCCCCTCTGGGTTATCACTTGGTTAAAGGTAATAACGAAACACATTATAGTGCTGCTGTTAGAAGTACACAAGTTAGTACACACAGAAAACCTGGGAAACTTCTTGGCATATACTATATATTCAATAAGGATCAGCTATTACTTCCAATGTTATAAATTAAAAACTTAGCCTCAAAAATTTGTAGTAAAATTTAGCACTACTAAACAAAAAAAGAAATCTGAATTAAAAACAACTTATACTTGGGGCTGGGATTGTGGCTCAGTGGTAGAGCGCTCACCTAGCATGCACGGGGCCCTGGGTTTGATCCTCAGCACCACATAAAAATAAATGAATGGAATAAAGGTATTGTGTCCAACTATAACTAAAAAAATAAATAAATAAATATTTTTAAAAAACAACTTATACTTAAGCATGATATATGTATTAATTTTTTTTGTTTGATTTTTAAAAATTATTAATCACTTTAATGACAAAAACCTTAAAAATTATAAAGAAAATAAATACACCTCAAGAATACATGTTTTTCAAGATAGATGATTGTCATCACACCAGCAATACTATCAAGCTAACCTATTATCACCAACCAGCCTTCCTATAGAATTTCCAAGTGTATTTTTCTATAATTTTACAAAATTATGAAGAAAATGTCATCTTGAAGAGTCCCTGTCCAAGCATTACATTCTGAACTCTCCAATTAACACTTGTATTTCATTATTTGATGCCCTGAACTTGTATGTCATGATTTAAGCAACCATGTCAATAGTGCTTTTGCCTGTGAAATGAAATCCTGAGGTTTGATTTCTGAATTTACCATTGATTCTTGTTATTCACAGTGCTCATGTTTACACTGTCACCATAAGCACTAAATTAGTAAATACCAAACCACTGTCCCTAGCAAAAACACAGTTAGGTTCCTGCAAGCCTCTGGTCACAATCTTTCCATCAATCAATCAATACATAACCTTGTTTTATGTGCAACTGTGTTTAAAGACACCTTATTTCAGATATAGTGTCAATTCAATTAACACTGAACTTATAGCCAACAGCAACATAACTCACGTGCAAATGATACTCCTCTAATATATGTATTTTCTCAAGTACATCACAGCCATCCCACATTTAAGACACAGACAGCACTTCAGCACTATGCTTAGAGATCATATTAGACATTGAAATCACCAAAAAAAAAAAAATATTATTAAAAAAAAAGGATACTTGCATATAGTATGCAAATTGAAAAATGAAGGCAGAATATTTCCTTGTTAGACCGTGGCTGGGACTGAATGTGTCAGGCAACTGAAAATTTATGCTGTTCTACAGTGTGTCTGCAAGTCATTATTAAGCACAATGAGTATTGTCTTTGGGGTTACAAATAAATTTTAGCAAGCAGGTATTTTTACAAATACAGAATCTGTAAAGAATGAGAATTGACCTTGACTATCCTTACCAATTTAAGTCCTGTAAAAAGATACTTGACTTCCTGATTGATAAAACAGCTAAGCTGAAGTTGATTTTCCTTTCCTTTGGTAACTTCTTCTTCGTCAGATTCTGTACATTTCATGCTTTGCAAAACAAGATAAGGAATGCCAAAAGGTATTCGATTTGTTTTAATCTTAAATATACTAAATTATCCTAATGCTATTAAATAAATAATCATTCACTGATTAAATTCATAATCATTTAAAAGGTATTGGTCTCCCACTTCACTATACTTCAAATGTTCATAAGCCTACCAATGACTTTATAAGTAATGATTATATTAAATATAAACTGCAATAAAATCTCAACAAATATGTTGGTATTTACTCATGATCTTAAAATGGCCTTAATAACCCAAAAATAAACAAATCTTTTCTAAGTTTCTACCCATAAACTAGAAAATAATCCTTCCTTGAATTCATGTTTATAAACTGGATCCATCTTGTTTATATAATGTAATTAAAACACTTCATTTCATACATTAAAAATTCTCTATGAGATAATGATGGAGATTCTAGTAAAGATGTTCAAGATGCTCTTAGGGAAAAGTCCTATTATTACAGTAAATACATTTATCTAAACTTCAAGATCACTCCAATATATATATATATTTTTATGAATTTCTTATTTCCATTGTATTTTTTAAGCATGAAAACCTCTGAAGGGGGCTGGAGCTGTAGCTCAGTAGTAGAGTACTTGCCTATCATGTGTGAGGCACTGGGTTTGATCCTCAACACCACATAAAAATAAATATATATTTTTTAAAATTTATTTAAAAAGGAAAAAAAAAGAAAACCTCTGAAGAATTTTTTTCTATGCTATCCACCATACCAATCAACCAACTATGCTATTTATGTCAATTTATCTTTTTATTTTTGTAGCAAAATATATTTTCATAAGATAGTAACTATGGACTATTAATAAATTAAAATACTTCAAAGAAAATATGGAACACTTCACAAATTTGCATGTTATTCTTGTGTAGGGGCTATGCTAATTGTCTCTGTATGGTTCCAATTTTAGTTTATATGCTACCCAAGCAAACATACCAATTTACTTTTTCTTAAGTTATAGTCTATACAAATCTTGGCTCATAAGGATACGTTGTTTCAAATTCAACACCGAAGAACTGATCAATTAAACTTTTCTTTTTAGAAGGTGTCACTGCTGATGCAGATGAAGAATCTGACTGCAAAATTAAAATGAAATTAAAATTCCAGTTTTACTTTGTATAGATATTAATGTATTTTTCCTTTTACACAATCCAGTTTAGCAATACATATTTAAGATTTTTTTAAATGTAGTCCCATTCTGTAAACTCCTTCTGATTCACAAATATTACCAAAAGATTACAGATACAATACTAAAATTAAGATTACAATATAATACAATATTAACATTACAACAATATTAATAAATTAAGCTTAATAAATAATGCACTAAATTAAATATCAGATTCAATCTATCAAACTCCAACCACAGGTTGACCATCTAAAAGCATTCAAATGCATATCTACTTATTAAGATAAATTTATTTTTAATCTTTTTGGGGGATAAAATAAAAACCAACAGTGAATGATATAATGAAAGTCTATAATCACAAATGCATTAAGTACCTCTTTAACAGAATCATCATCTATGGCTTCCAATTTTTGTTGTAATACTCGCATCATTTGTATCCAACATTCATTAGCATCCTGTAATTTTAAAGAAACAACACAGTAATCCAAGCAGTGACAGTGGTTGGTCAATAAATCCTTCCAAAATAATTACTATTTCCAAAGGGGAAAAGTGATTTCTTAAAAATTTGATAAGATCTTAAAAAAAAAAAAGTTCCAGAATGGTTATTCATTCAGCAAATATTTATTGAGCTCCTACTTGCTCGTACTTGTGCTACTATTATAGATATCTAAAATATATAGTGAAGAAGAAGTAGTAGTAGTAGTAGTCCCAGTGGCAATAACAGATACTCAAAATATAATTCAGGTGGAAACAAGGTCTATGAGGAAAAAAAAAAAGCAGTATGGGAGCAGAAAGTGACTGTGGGAAGGGAAGGACGTTAGAATGTTAAGACAGTCCAGGTGTGAGACCTGAGGGGGCCAGGCACACACATATCTATCTGTAAGCAAAGGGAACAAGAAAAAAAGACACTACTGGAAGAGAAAGGTTTAAAGAAGGCCAATGAAGTCATGAGGCTGGAGAGAGGTTAAGCAAGGAAAGGAGTAGTACTGATAAGCTCAGAGAGGCAGCAGGAGGCTAGTGTGATTTAGGACTATGGTAGAAAAATCATTACCGGGTACTAAACAAGGACCCAACAGGAACCTATTCTTTTTGAGTTTGTGCTGGGGACAGAACTCAGGGCCTTACCTATGCTATGCACGTGCTCTGCCACTGACCTAAATCCCCAGTCCTATTTACATTTTTATAAGGACTGGGTGCTATATGGAAAAACACCGCCAGGAGCCAAAGCACAAGCAAGGTGAGAACTGACAGGCTACTACCCAACTCTAGGCAAGAGAATATTTTGTTATGAATAAGAGCAGACTGAGGGGCTGGGGTTATAGCTCAGCGGTAGAGCACTTGCCTCGCACCTGTGAGGTACTGGGTTCGATCCACAGCACCACATACATACATACATAAATAAATAAATGAAATAAAGATATTGTGTCCATCTTTAAAAAAAAAAAAAAAAACCTTTATAAAAAAAGAGCAAACTGATATTTGTATATCCAAATATATTAAGTAATAAATATGTTTCCTAAGTTTACATTTAATGAAAAAAATTTTGCCCTAATTACCTGTTGAAGATATTGTCCTTGTTCACCCTTCTCCGCAAACTGTGGGAAAGCCATGTGCAAAAACTGCAGTAGAATAATAGGTGGAATACTAGAAGAAGTTTTATCCATGGAATCAAACAAATCTCTAAGGGCTTAAAAACAAAGCAAATATTGCCTTAGAATAATAACATATTTAATACATGCTACTATAAATTCTTAATTCTTAAATTTAAAAAACCCTGCTCAACTATATTTAAGTATATCTATTCTTTCATAATTGTTGTACTACTAATAAGATACTCACTTTTAAATCTTGAAGAATTCACCAGATGTTTTTATAATGCAATAACTAGCTATAAACAACTTCTGAGCCCTGCTGCTCTTTCTCCTTGCCAGCCTTTGTCTTCCCCAAACAAAGCAGGGTGTATTAACTCAATACAGAGAACACATAACCTCTAAGAATCAAACAAGCATATCATCACTGTTCTGCCATTCTGCCATTATCAGGCCATGAGATCACCACTTTCAAATTACCTTCCTTTAAACACACAGTTGGTTCCTATCTAATGAACTCTTGAATATTGAAATATGAATCCTTACATATTTCTTTACTCCATCAAACAGCTAAGAACCAAAACTACTTTGCCTTCTTCAAAACCTTTCCCCACTAATCCTCGCCTACCAGCCTTAAATCTCAGTCTTGAAATTAGCTATGCTAATTCAGAATACCTTTCCTCTGCTGACTTCATAGCTATCACACCTCACCTTTTCTTCATGTATTGCAAAATTCGGACCAATTTTATCTTGTATTGTTTTATTAACACCTAAGATGTAAAATGTCATTCATCTGTCATTATTGCAGAGGCTCAATAAATTGTTCTTGAATAAAAAAATTAAACTGGATGTTTAAAAAATATTAAATTAAAATATTAAGAAGATAGGCATGCTGGGATTACCCAGCAACTCAGGAGGCTAAGGCAGCATCGTAAGTTGAAGGCCAGCCTCAGCCACTTAGCAAACCTGTTTCAAAATAAAAAAGGCAGAGGGTACAGTTCAGTGGAAAAATGTCCCTGGGTGGTTCAATTCCCAGGACTACCAAAAAAAAAAGAAAGAAAGAAAGAAAAAAAACACAATACAGATTGAAAGACTAATAAGACATGACAACAAAACTTCCAAGGCCAGATGAGACTGGCACATTCAAGGTGTACGGCAGTAAATGACAACAGTAACTAAATGCAATGTGTGATACTGAAGCTGATTAAAAACATTGTAATGAAAAATAGTGGGACAGTGGCAATGAATGAAGTCTGTATTTTTAAACATCGAACAGTAAAGTGCTAAACTCCCAGATTCTGAAAATGGATCGCTATTTTACAGTTATAAATAACATCCTTATTCTTAGGAAATAATTAATATTCAAGAATAAAAGACATGATGTCTAGTACCTTATTCTAAAATGAGTCAGAAGAAAACTGCAAGCAGTACAGAGAAACGAGAAACTAAATAGATGTGACAAAAAGTAACTGGAAAATTCATATATACTTAAATTCTGTAAATTTAAATTTCAAAATAAAAATACGATGCAGGACAAGTTGCTGAAATTCTGAATTACTCTTATTAAATACACAAAAAGAAAAAAAATCAAATGAACTAGATATAAATGATCAACTTTGTCACTGAAAACTTAAGAAATAAAACAAATATAGAAGTAAGTTCAGGTTAAAATTTAACTCGAAATGATGCAAAAAAAACCCCTACTGTTTATAGTACTAAAAATTAATGGTTGACAACAATGAGACACCACCTTGCATGCACCCCTGGGATGGCTAAAGAAAAAAAGTCATAATACTAAATGTTCACAAGGATGTGGAAAAATCAAAACCCTACTATATCACTACAGGGCATGTAAAACGGTACAGCTCCTTTGGGGAAGAGTCTGGCAGTTTCCTCAAAAGGTTAAATATTAAGTTACTTTATGATCCAGAAATCCCACTCCTGTTTATATACCCAATATAAATGAAAACACGTATTCACACAAATATTAACACACCAACATTAGCCATATTCATAAGTCAAAAAGGAGAAACAATCCAAATGTCCACAGATGATGAATAAATGAAATGTGATATGTCCATACAATAGAAGCTTATTTAGCAATAAAAAGAATGAAGTACTGATAAATGCTACAATGCGGATTATCTTTGACAACATTATATGAACTAAAGGAAAAGATTACACTGCAATAGTCTATATATATAATTTACAGAAAATGTCCAGAATAGGCAAATCTGTAAGACTAAAAGCAGATTAGAGGTGGGAAGATGACTGCTCAGTGTTATGGAATTGCATTACAGAGGGGTTTGTTTATCTTGAAGTAATAAAAATGTTATAAAATTAACTGTGGTGACATTCAGACAATACTGTGAATATATTAGAAAATAATGAATAGTACACTTCAATGGGTGAATGTATGGTATGTGAATTATATTGCAATAAAGGTGTTGGGGGGAAAAAGCATGGCTGCAAAACCCTATCAATCTATTCCAATTATTTGAGAGAGTACTCACGTATAAAAAGATCCAAAATTATTCTCATATAAAAAAGAAACAAGGTATTTCTACCCTTTAATAATTTCTAGGGCTGTATAGCTCAATGGTAGAGTTCATGCTCAACACACATGAAGCCCTTTGATTTTATCCCTAGCACGACCAAAAAAATAAAATTAAAATTTTTTCTTTTCTATTTCTCTTCATACACATAACTTCTTTATACTAACAACCACTAAGACTTTTATAATGATCACATCAACCATGATAAAACTTATTTCTGGCTATCCCCAAAGTCATTCCCAAACATAAATGTATCTAATAGAACCTGAAATCAAAATAATAATTCAATCCAAAAAAATCCAAATATTATTTTTCAAAAAAAAAAAAATCACTGGTTTATAATTTGTTTAATAAGTTTCAAGTTATTTAATGTGAAATATAAAAGCAGTCCAAATTTTAATGAAGTAGTGTACAAAATACATTTTGTAAATTGAAAAGGTAGCTGAAAAATAAGTGAAAAGTAACATTGATTGAATATTATAAGTAGTCTATTTATCATACTGACCTGCAGTAATATACTGTGCTGAAGCCATTTCCCCTGAAGCTCTCAAGGCACCTGCATACCTAGGAAAGTTATGACAGAATTAAACAATAAGATTAAACTCATCTTGAAACTCAAATGGGAAGAAATCAATTAAAAGAACTGATAACACCCTTCAACTGATTCTCAGAATATTTTTTCTCTTCTTGTCTTGCTCATTTAAGCATTATATGGTTAAAAAAATGCTTAAATCAAAAAATCATGACTACATTCAGCATTAACTTCCTGTATAACATTAAAGATGTCATTTAAGTTTCAAGTCAGTTTGCTCATCAATAAAGAGTTTCTATTAAAGGAATTTTAAATTCATTTTTCAGATTTATGATGCCAGGTTAATTTACTATAGAATACTATAGAATAATCATCCAAAGGAAATAAACCAATCATTATTCATATAGTATCTTATAACAAAGGATCAGAAACTATCATTCATAACAAACACTGAGGAAGGAGAGCAATCATACATTCACGGTGATGAAAACCATGCTTATGTGCTACACACCCACTATAGAGGCTAAAAGGAAAAAGATCAATAGCACCCAATGCTGACAAGAATGGACAAACAGAACTACTAATATAATCAATGATGTGAACAAATCTCAAAAACTTTTTGCTGAGTGAAACAAGTCAGACTTAAAAAAAAAGTACAACCTGTATGATTCCATTTATTTTAATTTCCAGAATGTGCAGACTAAAATGAAATCAAAAGTTGCTAAAGGTGAGTAGAAAGGATGAGGATTCACTGAAAAAAAGCATAAGAAAACTTTCTAGGATGACTGAAATGTTCTATATTCTGATAGAAAACAGACTACAGAGCAAATGTAAAACTCAAAGAAAAAAAAAACTGGTCAAACTGAGTACTTAAGGTATGTACATTTTTCTAGATCTGTTATGTCTCAATTTTAAAAAAGCAAAACTCTGTGCTAACATAAGTAGAATGAAAGAGATCACAGAAAAAAAATATGTTAAACTATATCCAACTGAAGTGTTTTTTATTTTCATGTTTGTTTACATCCTTTTGAAACTGCCATGACTTAAAAAAAAAGCAAAGCATTCTGCACTTAAAGGATCAAATAGAAAAAAAAAAAAAAAGAACTTTAAGTAAGAATACTTCCAAATTTCAGAGAAATGAAAGCAGGATTTACAACCAAAGAGAGAATAGAGGGAGGGAGGAGGAGGAGGAAGAGGAGAGGGAAGAGGAGGAGGAGAGGGAGGAGAAAAAGAACAAGAACATCAGCAACAACAACAACAAAACCCGTTGACAGTTATTTTTCCTTGGTGGTTCATAGGTATTTTTCCACTAATTTCATGTGTTTATGCTCACTGATGAGGACCTATATCAGTCTTGATTCTGATTCTTTTCTGTTAGTAGTTTTATTTAGCTTTTTTGTTTTGTTTTATTTTGTTTGTTTTAATGTGGTAGTAGGGATCAAACCCAGTGCCTCCACAAGTTCTAGGTAAGTACTCTATCACTGAGCCACAACCCCAAGCCCCTGTTCGTAGTTTTTAGGGCTATTTTTGTTTTTCAAAATTTTCTAAAAATCTAAGCGTGGGGTTTCTTTTAACTTATCCTAGTACTCATTGGAAACTTTTAGATATTGCCTGTCCTCTATCTAGCTACTTCTTTTTTTTGGTGTGCTGGGGATTGAACCCAAGGCCGTATGCACACAAGACTAGCTACTTCTTTTATTATAAATATTAACATTTCTAGAACTATATTTTTTTAATATTTATTTTTTAGTTGGACACAATATCTTTATTTTATTTATTTATTTTTATGTGGTGCTGAGGATGGAACCCAGGGCCTCGCATGTGCTAGGTGAGTGCTCTACCACTGAGCCACAGCCCCAGCCCTCTAGAACTATATTTCATGTCTAATTTTTTCTCCACATTTTCAAGAAAGATTTATATATTGTGCCCTGGAGAATGCCTCAACATTTTACTGATTTGTATGTCAGGTTTTTTTTCCCCCACTGCTTATTTATCATGACAATAACTATTGGTATAGATGTGTAGAAATTATAACATTCTTATATTTCTAGTGAGAATGTACAATGGTACAGCTACTTAAGAAAACAGTTTGACAGTTCCTCAGAATGTTAAACAGAGTTAACATACGTCTGAGCAATACACTCTGGTATATAACCAAGAGAAATGAAAACAATTTGTCCACGCAAAAATTTATAAATATCTGTTCATAGCAACATTACTCACAACAGCCCAGAAGTAGACACAATCCAAATGCCCATCAACAGAACAAAGGGTAAACAAAATTTTATAAACATATACAATAAAATATTTTAAAAGGAATGACATATTGACATGAATAAACATGTCAACCTTGAATAAACCTTGAAATTATTATGCTAAGTGAAAAAGAAGCTGGTTCCAAAAGCCACACAGTATATGATTCCATTTACATGTAAGAAATGCCCAGGACTGAGGCTGTTGCTCAGTGGTACAGTGCCCACCTAGTGCATGTGAGGCGCTGAGTTCAATCCTCAGTACCACATATGAATAAATTAAAAATAAAGGTATTGTGTCCACCTACAACTAAAAAAAAAAAAAAAAAAAAACTAAAAAGAAAGAAAGAAAGAAATGCCCAGAATGGGCAAATTCATAAGACAGAAAGTGGATTAATGGTCACCTGGCGCTAGAGGTGGGTGGAAGAATATTAAGAAGCAACTGGCAACAACTAATAAGTTTCCTTTTGGAGGGATGGATTCTAAAATTAGACTGCAGTGAGCTGCACAACCTTATAAATATAATAAAAACCACTGAACACTTGAAAAAAGAATTGGTATGATAAATGAATATCTCAATAAAGATGCTAAAAAAACAAAATACTACTACTATCCACCCAAATGTGAACCTTCCTCATCCAGAAATTTAAACCATTTCTCTTTAGTCTTACCTTTTAAGGGCATCTTTGAGTTCAGGCACAGATCGAATACATTGAACTGTAGCATTCATGTAACAAGTGTTACCAAGATTTGTCAACCCACATGGTAATTCCATCTGATTTTAAAAGAGAATTAATTCATATTTATAAAATGACATGGCATATATAAATCACTAAAGTTCACACAAATCAAGTACCATTTACCAGTGCCTAACAACTTATATTGCACCTTCAACCAACGAAGAAATTTTATTTGCATCATGCTGGCATTAATTCTGTTTTAATTCCTTTCTTGAGAATAAGAACTACCATATCAGTCCTACCTCCTTTGCAAGCTTATAAACAGACTAGGGAAACAAAATATGCATAAAAGCACTGCAAAAACACCCAAAAAACTAACAAAAAAAAAAAAGAATGATGCGACTAAATGCTACATGTTAAAAAAAATATTGACTCATATGTATTGGCCAGTTTTACACTGATTCTGCATTTATATTCAAGATATGGGCTGGGTCATAGCTCACTGGTAGAGCACAAAAAGCAAGCAAAGCACTGGGTTTGATTCCCAGCACTGTAAATGAAAAAAAAAGAAGCTTCAGGGTAATTAGATAATTTAACATGGAGCACTTGAGAATTTAAAGACCCTAGCATTTAAAGTACTCTCTGAATCTGTTTTCTCATTAAGATAATAGTAAACAGTATTTAAACAGTGCTATCTGCCAGATATTTATTGCAGATATTAATTTACTTTATAACTTTATGTACATCCTACAACAACTCTTATCTGTAAAGTTACAGTCCTTAAAACCTCATAGTTTTGAGGCTTATAAGCATAAGCCCTAACTTATTAACTTTATTTTTAAAGTTAAATGGAAGTAAAGCCTAAATAAATTCACTTGCAAATTAGAAAGGCAATAACAGGGCTGGGGCTGTAGCTCAGTGGCAGAGCGCTTGCCTACCACATGTGAAATACTGGGTTCAAACTTTAGCGCCACATAAAAAAATAAACAAATAAAATAAAGGCATGATATCCATCTACAACTACCAAAAAAATTTAAAAAAAGAAAGCAATAACAATCAAGGTGTAATGACTGTTTTAAAAAAAAATCTAGGGGCTGGGGTTGTGGCTCAGAGGTAGAGTGCTTGCCTAGCATGGGTGAGGCACTGGGTTCAATCCTCAGTACCACATAAAAATAAAAGATATTGTGTCCGCCTATAACTAGAAAATAAGTATTTTTTAAAAAATCTAATTGTATGATTTATTATAAGCCAATTTCAAAAATAACAACATTCTTGGGCTGGGGTTGTGGCTCAAGAGGTAGAGCGTGCACCTAGCATGCATGAGGCACCGGGTTCAATCCTCAGCACAACATAAAGTAAAAGACATTGTGTCTACCTATAACTAAAAAATAAATATTTAAAATTATAATAATAACTCTTATTTACTGCCAAAAACACATCTTGATATTAATGATTAAAATGTTTAGGTGCTACTTTCTGAAAGACATTTTAATAATTGTCTTTCCAAAAGTAGTGAAGAAATGCAAAATGTGATCATATCTTACAGCAGATGCTAACTGCTCTTCTGTCATGTCTTCTACGAAGACAGTTTTAGATGAGGGTTCCTCCGGAAGAGCATCTGCTGACCCCATCATTAGTAGAGTAATTCCCTATTTAAAAAAAATAATAATAATTTCATGAAAAGCCTAAAAGTTGATAATGTTTACATCCAGTAAAAAGAACACATATTAAATTATTCTACTGACTGATTACAGGCGTCCCAGCAATTAAAAAAAAAAAAAAACAAGCATAATGGTCACATCTCACTTTTTTTGCAAAAAATTTAGCATAAAATCTGTGATTATGTAGTAAAATAGTTTATAACAAACATAAACTGCATGAAAGCAATAGCACAAAAACAAGAACAGGGAAATGGAGGTATACTGTTGTAAGGGTCTAATTACCGAACTCATTTGTTATTTGAAGATAGATACACACACACACACACACACACACACACACACACCCTTATAGTAACAATTTGAAGATACTGTTTAAGACCGCTCAATATCAGGAATCAACAAACTTTCCCCAGTAGGGCTATATGATACATATTTGAGACTTGGTGAGTCACATAGTTGCATATTCTTGTTATTTTTCCCAATTGTTTGAAATTCAAAAAACCATTCTTAACTTTCAGAATGAAAAAAATAGGCTACAGGACATTTCTAGACTACAATTCATAATTCGATGATCCCTGCTTCACTGTGAAGAAAAGATTTCAAAGAGCTTTTGTTACGTGGATTTTATCTATCAATATTTATCACATTAAAAATTAAACCTGGGATTGGGATGTGGCTCAAGCAGTAGCGCGCTTGCCTGGCATGCATGGGGCGCTGGGTTCAATTTTCAGCACCACATAAAAATAAAATAAAGATGTTGTGTCCACCGAAAACTAAAAAATAAATATTAAAAAATTCTCTCTCTCCCTCTCTAAAAAAAAAAAAAAAATTAAACCTGAGGGCTGGGGATGCGGCTCAGTGGTAGAGTGCTCGAGTAGCATAAACAAGGCACTGAGTTCGATCCTCAGCACCACATGAATGTAAAATAAAGATATTGTATCCATCTAAAACTAAAAAATAAATATATTTTAAAAAAATTAAACCTGAGAAATTTTAATAAGTATTTATTCATTTAAATATACTCTACCCATTTAATGTTAACTTAAAGACAGGAGGCTGAGGCAGAAGGATTGCAAGTTCTAAGCCAACCTCAGAAAATTAGTGAGGCAACTCAGCAAGACCCTGTCTCTAATAAAATATAAAAAGGGGCTGGGGATGCGCCTCAGTGGTTAAGTGCCCCTAGGTTCAATCTCTGGAACAACAAAAAAAACAACAGCAGAAAAAAAAAAAAATAGCAAGATGGTAATCATAAATCCAAACATATCAATAATTACATTGAACATAAACGATCTAATACTCCAATTAAAAGGGAAAGATTCTAGATTGAATAAAAAAGCCAGACCCAACTAGATGCTATCTTTTAAAAATTAACTTTAAATATAAAGAAACAGACTAAAAGCAAGAAGGAAAATGAAAACAATGATTTAAAAAACAGTGGTCATGTAAAGAAAAGACAAAGTAAATCTCAGAACAAGAAATTTATCAGAAATAAAGAACATTTCATAATTAAATAAGATCAGTTCATGAAGACATAACAATCCTATGTTGTGTATCTAATAAGAAAATATCAAAATCTATGAAGCAAAAGGTGACAGAACTAAAAGGAGAAATGATCAAATCCACAATTATAGCTGGAGATTTGAATGCACTTGCTAAACAAGTAGACAAAACAAGTAAACAAACAAAAAAAGCAATAACGATATAGAGGACTTGAACAATATAAACCAACAGGACCTAACTGACATTTATAGTTTATAGAACATTTTATCTGACAACCGAGAATACATACAAATAATTAGATATAAACAAGTAACAATAAACTTTAGAAGACTATAATAACATTGGGCATGTTATCTGACCACAAGAAATTAGAAATCAATAGCACATATCTAGGAAAAGCTTCAAATGACTGGAAATTAACCTGATTCTAAACAACCCAAGGGACAAAAAGGAAATCATAAGGTAAATTAGAAAATGTTCTTTGCTATATGATAATAAAAATACAATATATAAAAAACTTATGTATGCAACTAGAAGAGAAGTTAATAAATTTAAATCTTAGGAAAAAATAGTTTTCAGAGTAGATATCAATTGGGCAATAATATAAATCAACAAAATCAAGAACTGGAAAGGTTTACTGATAAATCCTTAGCACACTGATCAAAACACAACAAGCAAAAACATCCAATTTATAGGCATGGTGGTAATCTCACTTACTTGGGAGGCTAAGCAGGAGGATCACAAATTTGAGGTCTGCCAGGGCATTTTTTTGTCTCAAAAACAAAAATAAAAAAAAAAAACTGGGAATATAGCTCAGTGGCAACATAACAAGACTCCATCTTCAAAAAAAAAATTTTAAATAAACTACTATGTGTTGAATTTTGGTATTCTGTGAAAGGATGTCTATAATTTTATCTGAAAAGACACTTCATTTTCCACCTGTATGACTACGTGAGGCATAAACTAAAGCCACACATCACAACAGAGTGAATATAAAAGAAAGTACAGAATTTAGCTGTTTTCTATAAAACGAGTCAAAAATTGCCTGGCACAGTGGCGCACACCTTTAATCCCAGCAACTCAGGACTCTGAGGCAAGAGTATCACAAGTTCACGGCCAGCCTCAACAACCTGCCCCTGTCTCAAAATAAAAATAATCCAGAGATGGAAGTGTAGCTCAGTGGTTGAGTGCCTCAAGTTAAATTCCTAAAATGCCCCTCCAGCGCACGCGCACGCACACGCGCACACACACGCGCACACACACACGATTTGCAAATATTTATAACAATGCCAGTTCCTTTACTACATTTTTGTGTTGAAAAATATTTTTTAAATATCAAATGAACAATCCATTGATTATATTAGGTTTTAGATGTTTAGTTTGTTAATTCAGTTTTAGATGTATGTATGTACTTACTTATGGTGCTGTAGATTGAACCCAAGGCCTTGCAGATATTAAGCACACATTCTACCACTGAGCTGTATCCACAGTCCCGTTATTGTTTTTAAATGAATAAATATTTAAAAATGTATCAGCTTTAACATCTAATATCAATGGATATATACAAAACTCTTTGGGGTTTTCGATCCATAAAGTATGCAAAGGGGTTTGAGAACTGCACATTCCAGAAATGCAAAGGTTTACCAATTAAAATTGCTGGGCCCAATGGCACACACCTATAATACCAGCTATTCAGGAGGCTAAGGCATGAGGATCATTTGAACCCAGGAGTTTGAAGTGCTTGCCTAGCAGGCACCAGCCCTGGGATAAGACCCCAGTGTGAAAGGGTATATGGGGGATAACCAAATTACCAAAAGAAAAATCATATGATCATTTTAACCAGAAGCAGAAAAAGTGCTTCATTCAATAGCCATTCATAATTTAAATCTTAGTGAAGTAGGAAAAGATGTCTACTCTCATCACTTTCTATTCAATGTTAATGTATTAGAAGTCCTAGCAAGAAGTTATGAAAGAAAATGAAATTAGAAGTCATTTGTTTATCAATTATATGTCAACAATAATTTTAAAAAGAAGTGAAAAAAGAAAGGAAAAAGTAAAACTCATTATTTTCAGATAATATGCCTATGTACACAGAAAACATCAAATCTAAATCCAAAAAGCTATTGGAACTATTAAATGAATTAATTATAAGATCTCAGGATGAAAACAAACTTAGGAAAATCAATCATATTTTTTACATTCTAGCAATAAATGCTGAAAAACACATTTTATAAAATATCATTCAACAGCAAAGAAACCTTGTTCTAAGAATCTAACAAAAACCATAAAAGATTCTAAACGAAAAACCTACAACCCAAAGACAAAATAAAGACCTAAATAAACTTAAGAATTTATTTATTTATTCATTTACTTCTTTTTTGGTACTAGAGACTGAACCCAAGGGTGGTTTACCACTGAGCTACATATCCAGGCCTTTTGATTTATTTTGAGACAAGATCATCCTAAATTCTTTATAAAGAATTTATAAATTCTTTATACTGGCTAAATTACTGAGGCTGGCCTTGAACTTGCAATCCTCCTACCTCAGCCTCCCAAATTGCTGGGATTATAGGTGTGTGCCACCACATCTGACTATTTAAGGATTTTAATACTCCATATTAAGACATTCATTCTCCCAAAATTGAATTTAGATTTGATGAAGTTTCAAGCAAAATCCTAGTAGTCAATTTGTAGAAATTAACATACTTGGGCTGGGACTGTGGCTCAGTGGTAGTGCACTTGCCTTGCATGTGTGAGGCACTGGGTTCAAGTCTCAGCACTACGTATAAATAAATAAAATAAAGATCTATCAACAGCTAAGAGAAAAATATTTTTTTAAAATTATAAAAAAAATAAATTAACATACTTATTCTAAAATTATAAGCAAATACATAGGAGCTAAAGTAGTCTTTTAAAAGGAGAAAAAGTTGGAAATTTTTAAGACTTTTAATATAAAGCTTTAATAATCAAGACCATGTGGTAGTAGTACAACTTTAATCAACTAGATCAATGAAACAACAATCCAAAATTAGACCGACAACTGATTTTCAAGAAAAACTAACACAATTCAATGGAAAAAGAAAAGTATTCAATAAATGGTACTGGAACACATGGATATACATAATAAAAAAAAGTTATTTGGAATTTATTTTTGGTGTAATAATTATGTTACTGCATTGTAGGAAGTGTTCTTAATACTTACATTTTTTATTTTGATGTTTCCCCAATCATCATCCTGTTTCAAAAACAAACAAAAGAAAATTTAACCATCTCTGCACAAGTACTAAGTTTTAAAAGCTTCCTCAAATAAAATTTATCCTGCTTATGAATTCTATTCAAAATTAATTCAATCAAAAAAAAAATATTTGAAGCCGGACACTGTGGCACACATCTGTAATCCCAGCAGCTCAAGAGGTTAAGGCATGAGGATCACAAGCTCAAAGCTAGCCTTAGTACTTAGCAATGCCCTTAACAACTCAGCAAAATCCTGTTCTAAATAAAATATAAATAGGGGCTGGGGATATGGCTCAGTGGTAAAGTACCCCAGGTTCGATCCCTTGTAACCAAAAAAAAAAAAACAGGTTTCAAAACACATACAACCAAAAAGCCAGGAAGTCTAACGATTGCTTAAATTGCATACAGTGACACAATCTAAGTACAGGGCAGCACCAAGTACTAAAACACATTTAAGTATACTTAGCAAGTACTAAATATTTGATGACAAATGACAGATCCTAATGTTTTGCAAGTTTAGAAGCAAGAGAGCGAATTAATAACTAGGTTATATGACAAGAATATGAAGACTAATTTATAAAATAAGGCATAGGTAACTAATGTGACTATATAATTTATCATCCAAACCAGGAGGCTCTTGAGAACGTAAGTGCTATTAAAAATTATACCAGGGGCTGGGATTGTGGCTCAGTGGAAGAGCGCTCACCTAGCACAGGCGGGACCCAGGTTCGATCCTCAGCACCACATAAAAATAAAGACATTATATGTTGGGGCTGGGGATGTGGCCCAAGCGGTAACGCGCTCGCCTGGCATGCACAGGCCGCTGGGTTCGATCCTCAACACCACATAAAAATAAAATAAAGATATTGTGTCCACCGAAAACTGAAAAATAAATATTAAAAAAAAAAATTCTCTCTCTCCTCTCTCTTAAAAAAAAAAAAAAAAAGACATTGTGTTGTGTCCATCTACACCTAAAAAATAAATATTAAAAAAAAAAAATGATACCAGGCCAGGAGTGATGGCACCCACCTATAATCCCAGCTATTCAGAATGCTAAGGCATAAGAATCACAGGTTCAAAGCCAGCTTGGGCAATGAAATGAGACCTTGTCTCAAAATAAAAAATAAAAAGGGACAGAGAGGTAATCAATGATTACTAGCCTAGCACATGCAAGGCCCTAGTTTTAATCCCTAGTACCTCAACAAACAATAATAAGTTTTAAAATTAAAAAATAAATTATACAAGGAGGGAGCTAGGGATGTAGTTCAGTGATAAAGAACTTGCATAGTATGCACAAGGCTCTGGCATTCAATTCCCATCAAAACAAAAACAAAACAACTAAAAATATATTAGGAAAGTGAACCAAAGTGATCAAGACAAACAAACTCTCAGCAATATCTGCATGTCCACAAATGTTTTGAGTCCTAAATCTCACATTTATGAAGCAATTTACAAAAACTTTTGCTTCATGTGTTAAACCAAGATTTTGTTTTTTTAAGGCCATCCCTGTTCCACAGATGTAGTAACTTACTATAGCTAAGCCCTTCCCCTCATAAGATGAAGTCAGTCCCACATTACTCCTTTTCCTTTTTAGTTTTTTAAAAATTTTATGGTGCTGGGGATCAAACCCAGGGCCTCATGTGCCAGGCAAGGATTCTACCACTGAGCTATATTTACAGCCCACTCTTCTTTTCACAGAAGGTACCAGATATTCAATATGCGTCTCCCCTTCATTAGTATGACTAATCATCTCTTTGGACACTCTTGTTTAAAAATGGAACAGTAACTTCCTAAAGGTCTTTTTCAGTTTAAGAACTAACTATTGCCTTTAATCATAAGAAATGGTACATCTTGGGGACTGAATCCAAGATCTTGTGCATGCTAGGCAAGCACTTTGCCACTGAGCCATACACAATTGCTTATTTAAAAAAAAAAAAAAATACTTTCTCATTTTTTTGTGGCCCTTCATCAATGAAGCAGATATATGCTAGAGTCACTGTGATCATGCCAAAGGAACTAAATGAAAATTTAGGTCCCCTTGCTTTTTGAAAAATTTGACTCTCATCTCTTAGATAGGTGATAGCAATTGCTCAAGAGACAAAAGGCTTCAATGTGTAGGACATAAAAAAAGAAAAAAGGGAAAAAAATTTTAAGCTTCTAGTATTCCAGAATCAGAGTTTTGGAAGAGATGTTTAAGAACTTTAAATTTTAACATTTAAGTTCATGTACAATACATTTTTTACTATTTTAAAAAGAAAACAAATCTAATCATATTGTTGCATGTTTTTAAGAGAGAAAATTTTCCATCTCTATTAACTTAAAATTACTACAGAAATAAATTTTATATTGGTCAAACAAAATTAAATACTTTTAATATGTATTCATAGGAAAACAAGTCAAATAATACTAATACCAATAATTATAAAATATCCCACTCCCCTAACATTCAAAGATATCTAATTGCAAAATAAAATCTAAAGTGATACTTTTATGTTTTGAAATAGGCACAATGTTCCTCCCATACACAACATAAATACGAACAGAGCTTTAAACCCATAAAATTATATATTTTCAGTGAGTAAAAAAGTACTATAAATGGTATATTAACACTAAACAGATTTCTCAGTGTTAATTATTTTCACTAATTATATAATGATAGCATATAAAGAAAATCTCAACTAAATTTTACCTTCAAGGTTCCTCCTTTCACCATAACTTTCTGTCTGGCTGGCTGGACTCCAGTCAGTGCAAAAAGCTGAGCCTTGAACACCATTGGAGGTTCATCAGTATTCAATTCTACACCTTCAAATTTCTCCTTTCCCCATTTTACAGTAACTGTAAATTAAAAAAAAAAAATTTCATTTATAAGATTTCAGATTTAAGCCAGTTGCGGTGGCACACGCCTGTGATCCCAGCAGCTCAGGAGGCTGAGGAAGGAGAATCTTGAGTTCAAATCCTGCCTCAGCATTTAAGCAAAACCCTAAGCAACTCAGGGGGAACCCACCTCTAAATAAAATATTTTTTTTTAAAGGGAGGAAGAGGTTTGGGGACTTGGTTCAGTGGTTACACACCCCTGAGTTCAATCCCTGGTACCAAAAACAAAAGATTTCAGTTTTAGAAAACCCTCTGGGATCACCCACTGAGCTAGTTCTTGAAAGTCAAACTATGCCCTTTCATCTTTTTATGCTCATAATATCTACTTGATCAAGAAACATATGCATGCAGTGTGACCTGAATAAAATTGTACTGACTCTAACTTCTCATTCATTATATAAATATTGGAACATTAGACTTGAATTGACTAATATCACAAAATTGGTTAATTATTAATTAATTAATAAATATACAAGTTTTGCCAGGCACAATAGCACATGACTGTAATCTCGGCTGCTTGACAGGCTGAAGCAGAAAGATCCCATGTTCAAGGCCTGCCTGGGAGACTTAGGGAGATCTTGTCTCAAAATAAAAAATAGGGGTTGGGGATGTAGCTCAGTGCTAGGGCACCCTTAGGTTCAATACTCAATTCTGCAGCAGCAACAACTACAAGAAATATCCAAGTCTTCTAAATCCTACTCCAGAAATCTCTGCAGACTGAAGTGGATTTCTCATCACACTCAAACTGAACAATTTCCCAGAATAAAGAGGTTCACAGCCTTCATGAAGTGTTTATCCAAAGAATCATTTGAATCAATACATACTGTTGGAACAAAAGGAGGAGAGAAAGGTTATACAGTTTACCAGGAGACAAGAAAATCTTGGAATAAAGTATACTGAGAATAGGCCAAGGATTATAGGCGTTGTTCCTGAGCAAGAAATGCTCAAATATTAAGAATCTATAGATATACCTAAATCACTAAAAAAATATATATAAAAATCCCATATCACATTTATTAGGATGGCTAGTACTACTGGTTTTTTAAAAATTGTTTGTTTTTTAAACAGAACAAGTGCTAATGAGTGTGTGGAAAAAACTGGAACCCATGTACACTGCTAATGTAAGTGTAAAATGGCAGCCACTGTGGGAAACAATTTGGCATTTCTTCAAAAAAATAAACTCAGAATTAAGATATTCAACTACCAAGAAGTACTGAAAGCAGGTACTCAAACAGATAACAGTGTACATGTTCATAGCAGCATTATTCACAACAACCCACAATGGAACAGTATTCAGCCTTATGAAATTTTTACATATACTACACAACATGGATTAATCTTGGAGACACTGTGTTATGTGAAATAAGCTAGTCCTAAAAAGACAAATACTGGGCTGGGGTTGTGGCTCAGCAGTAGAGCACTAGCCAAGCACATGCAAGGCTCTGGGTTCTATCCTCAGCACCACATAAAAATAAATAAATAAAATAAAGGTATTGTGTCCAACTACAATGAAAAAATTAATATTTTTTTAAAAAGACAAATACTATATGGTTCCACATATATGAGGTACCCTGAGTAATCAAATTCATAAAGACAAGAAGAGAATATCTCCTGTCATCAAGTAGGGTAAGAAGAAATGGGGAGTTTTATTTAATGGGGTACAGAGTTTCACTTTTAGAATATAAAATTTCTAGAGAGAGACAATAATGATGGTTGTGGAAAAATGTGAATATACTTAGTGATATCAAACTATACAAAAAACAGTTAAGATAGTTGCTGGGTGCTGTGGCTGATGCCTGTAGTCTTGGCAACTTAGGAAGCTGTCAGAGAAGGGCAACAGCCAGTTAAGATGGTAAATTTTGTTACATATATTTTACTCCAATAAAAATATCTTGGTCAGGGTTCGATCCTCAGCACCACATAAAGTAAAATAAAGACATAACTAAAAATATATATCTCTTGGTCAGCCTCATAAAACAGCTAACTTTTAAAACAAGTAATAATAAACTCAAGGATACACATTGTTTCCATTGAAAATTTTATATCTTTAAAAATGAGAATCTCACAACTAATAGTTGTCTGATTTCAAACTTCTGAAATCAGAATTTGAAAACCTGCTTCCAGTTCTATCATCAGTTCGTTGACTATATCAAGCACTCACTTTAATTGACAAGCACAGAACCTATATATACTTACTATATAAATTACACAATAATGTTATTATATATTATAAAGGTATGGAATACAGAGGAATGCTTCATGAACAAGAAAGGATTTTTTTATAGGAACTGCTAACTTTGGAATTATGACAATCAACTGGTTTTTGTTGTTTTTGTTGTTGTTTTGTTACTGGGGATTGAACCTAGGGGCACTTAACCACTGAGCCACATCCCCAGCCTTGATAAGTTGCTAAGGCTGACTTTGAACTCATGATCATAGAGTCTCTGGGATACAGGTATATGCCACCATAACTGGCTAGCCAAAGAATAAAAAAGTTTTCCTAAAAGATGAGATAGAGGCTGGGGATATGGCTCAAGTGGTAGCGCGCTCACCTAGCATGCGTGAGGCACTGGGTTAGATTCTCAGCACCACATACAAAAAATAAAGATATTGGGTCCACTTAAAACTAAAAAATAAACATTAACAAAAAAGATGAGATAAATATTCAATAGCATAGAGCAATATGGTGCTTTCCAAAATGTAAAAAAATCCCCAAAGTGAAGGGGAAATAGCAAATTAAACTGAAGCTGACTAAGGATCAAGTCAGGAAGATATGTAAGTCAAACTAGAACACACATGTGAGTTCTATGTTGTAGGCTATGTGTAATCCCTGAAAGACTTTCATAAAGGATATCTTGGTCTGGTTTTGAATAGTATTGGATTACTTTAGCAGTAGCAGGTAAAATCAATTTGCAGGTGGTATAACTGTAATCACTAAGAAAATAGAAATACAATAATAGGGGGCTAGAGATGTAGCTCAGAATTGGAGAGCCTGCTTATGATGTTCTAGGCCCTGGGTTTGTTCCCTAACAACAGAAAAAAAAAAAAAAAATTAAGAAACATACAGTCAGATGCAGTGGTACATGCCTATAATCCCAAGATACTTGGGAAGCTGAGGCAGAAGGATTCAAGTTTGAGGCCAGACCAGGTAATTTAGCAAGTCTCTGTCTCAAAAGAAAGGGCTGGGGACGTAGTTTAGTAGTGGAACACTTCCCTAGCCCTGGGTTCAGTTGGCGAGGAGGGAGGGTATAAAAATAAGCCAAGCTAACGATGATATAAGATTAAATCAAAATAATATTAGAAATTGCCAGTCCTACAGCACATGCCTGTATCAGCTGAGGCAAGAGGATCTCAAGTTCCAGGCCAGTCCAGGAAAAAAAAAAAAAAAAAAGCTGAAGATTTAGCTCAATGGTAGAGTGCTTGCCTAGTTGAGAGACAATTGAGATAGAGAGGGACCAACCAGAGAAACTTATTTAAAATTTATTTAGCTGTGTCACTAGCCATGGATGACCTTCTTAAACTTTTTGCTTATCCAAAAAGGGAAATCATACCAGTAACACAGGATTATGTTAAAGATTAAAACAAGGCAAAGCATATAAAACCCCAGTTCACATGGCGTGGCACTGTGGCCCATGCCTGTAATCCCAGCAGCTCAGAAGCCAACCTCAAAAACTTAGAAAGGGGGCTCAGGATGTGTCTCAAGTGCTAGCGCGCTCGCCTGGCATGTGTGAGGCACTGGGTTCGATCCTCAGCACCACATAAAAGAAAATAAAGATATTGTGTCCACCTAAAACTTAAAAAAAAAAATCTATATCTATATATAGATATAGATATAGATATTTTTTTAAACTTAGAAAGGTCCTAACCAACTTAATGAAACCCTGTCTCTAAATAAATTTTTTTAAAAAAAGGTCTGGGGATGTGGCTCAGTGTTTGAGTGCCCCTGGGTTCAATCCCTGGGTACAAAAAAAAAAAAAAAAAATCCAGCTTACATTGGGTGTTCAATAATCTTTATCGTACTTATCTTTAATCATTTAAGAATCTAGATAGTAAAACTTAAGGAATGGTACTTAAAATGTTCTCTTCATTTTAATATAAGGCTTTTTGCTGATCTTGAAAATACACTCTCAACATGGAGATGTCAATGGAAGGGACCTTTGAAATTTACTTCAATACCTATATGTTGGGAATGAGAAAAAGATCTGATTAAATATTTAACACAGAACTAAATTTTTAAGTTAGAATCTATTGTGGCATTTTTTGCAGGAATAAAGAGAAAGACTGGTTTTGTTGTATGCTTATAAACCTACCAGTGTGTTAGTAGGTAGCCTTCTTTATCAACCATTAATTAATTAATGCCCCCTCAATTTAATACTGCATATCCCATTTCAAGATAGGATATTTCAAGCTGTGGCTTTAGAAAAGGGTTGGGTAATTATTATTAAAGCTTGGATTCAAAATTCTAGACCATCAAGAATCCAGCTAGAGATTAAACAGTACTCTTGATTCACTGAAAATCCTGAACCTTAAAGGAACTATGACACAGTCGGGTAAGGGACAGTCAATGAATCACATATCCATACCTAATTAGGGCCATTATACACGTTAGGTGCCATTTTGAATAAGACTGGAAAACAGTAGGTCCATTAAGTAAGTAAAAATGTGATTCCTGGTCAACATGTTAGGCAGCCATGGAGCAAACCAGTCCTGTCAAATGCCAAACAAAAACGCTGGCGGAGGGCTAGGAATATGGCTCAAGTAGTAGCGCGCTCCTCTGGCATGCGTGGGGCGCTGGGTTCGATCCTCAGCACCACATAAAAATAAAATAAAAGATATTGTGTCCACCTAAAGCTAAAAAATAAACACACACACACAAAAAAAAAAAAAAAAAAACAACGCTGGCGGATATTTACATTCGTCTACCTCTCAAAGCTAACACAACACTTTGGTCACAGAAGTCCAATACAATATATGATGAAATGAAAATGAACAAGTAAATATACAGGTTTTTCAATCTGCCTCGGAATAGAACTGAAATGGGCATAAAGGGGGCAGCTGAGCCAAAAGGCAGCAAAGGGTGAGCAAAGGGCAGCTATCAACCCCAAGGAGGATGAAGGCCACTCTTAACATCCCTGAGTCCCTCCATCCCTACCCTCTTTCCCTACTTCCTTCCGCAGCTGCCACCAAGAAGCCCAAAGGAATAGCACTGCACCTGCAGCCTGGTCCCTGGCACCCCAGGACACACCCTCACCTTCCCCAGCACACTAGGACAGCGACAAACTATTCTGCAGAGTCATGACTCGGAGCAGCTTCCCCATCTCTACTCCGGCTCCCATCCCACCCAGCAGGCGGCTCCCACGCGTGGCAAGTCTCCGTCGCAACAGGGAGGGGAAGGTGCCAGGGTCGTCCCCGCTCTGCAGCCACCCAGCGCACCCCACCCTTGCGCTCCCCCAGTCCATGCCCCGCGCCCGCCCGCCTCTGCAAGCTAGGCCTACGTGGAGGCCTAAGCGTCCGCCGCGAGAGTGCGATAAGAGGCGAGGAGGGAGCTCACCGGAGTACAGCGGCATGGCGGGGGTGCGCAGGGAGGTGGCGGCGTAGGAAGGCTGGTCCTGGCAAAGACCGCGCAGGGAAAGGGACCAGAAGAAGCTTGTGGAGGCGGCCGAGGTGGAAGCACGGTGGTGGCGGCTCGGGTGCGACGAGTCTCATTCAAACCGGCCACTGGCGATGACGCAGCAGCACGCAGTTCGCCCACAGAGAGACTGCAGGGCGGAGACGCGACAGGGAGGGCAGGGGCGGAGCCTGCAGGGTGGCTGGAGCCGGGCGGAGGCGGGAGACCGACAGGCGGAGCGAGGCAGGGGCGGGCGGTGGGCACGCGGCCCTAGCCGCCGGAACAGGTGCGCGCCTGCGCACTGGACGCCCACTCGGGCTGACCGCGTGGTCCACGAGGCCCCGCCCGCCCCGCGGGTTGAATGGGAACCTGCCTTACCCCTGGCTGTCTGATTTTTGAAAAGTTGACTTTTCCCTGTTTTCAAAAATGGTGGGTCATTGCAACCAGAGATTTTTGGTTTTCGCGTACCCAGCTAGGGAGCTGGGAGTTGAGGGGCCTTGCTCTATGTCACATTTATTAAGGGGATTAAAATGTATTGAGCATCGTGATTGTACCTACATAAAATTAGTGATTGTACAAGGACTTATTCTAAATCCCAGCTCTTATGAGCTGTAGGACTCTGAGCCTTAGTTTATCTATATAATTGAAATGATAGTGTCTACATTCTGATTGTTTTGGAGATTAAATTAGGTTATGTAAAGAAGGTACTTAGCACAGTATGAAATAAATGATAACTATTATATCACTTATAATATTAGATAATTTATAGTTGTTATTATAACAGTAAAGACTTGCAAGGGGTTTCATAGAGCATGGTTACAGAAGCAGGCTATGGGTAGCTTTATTGCCTGTTTTGCAAATGTCTGGTAATATAGTTCTCTAAAATAGATTTTTAAAAACAGTGCATGTGTCTGGAGTGGTGGTGCACGCCTGTAATCCCAGCTACTCAGGAAGCTAAAGCAGGAGAATGTAAGTTCAAGGCCAGCCTGGGCAACTTAGGGAATGACTGTCTCAAAATAAAAATGAAAAGGGCTAGGGATGGAGCTGAGCAGAAGGGGCCCCAGGATTTAGCCTCTAAGGTTGTGGGGAGTGACGTGGAATATATAATACATAGGTCATTTATGGAAAAGTCTTTGCTGCCTCTTGTTGAAGTTGATAGGGAGACCTAAAGATGTAAGGGTGCAAGTGCAAATCATTCTCTAAACTGCACTCCCATTGCACCCAAATGTTCCCTTAGTAACTCTGATCACACTTCTCAATGTGTTTTCCTCATTATTATAAACATGAATCTTGGCTGTTAGGCACTTGGGCATTATTTGATGCTATGAGAATTGGATATGAAAGCAACATACTTTTGATACCACCCATTACCAGTGACAAGTCCTGCTTCCTCACATGTTGAAGTATAACATTAGAGAAGCACACTGAGGCAAACATATAAAGCAGGGTTTATTTAAAAGGGGTAACATAGACTTCTCCTGGGAGGGAGTAGAGGGCCATGGCTGGTATCCTGGTATCTCAAGAAGTGAGAGGGTGACCTGCCTTTTTATATGTCTTAGGCTTCCTTTGTTCTCCTGCCCTCTTCCCTTATCTGTCTCTTTCCTGCCCAGGAGATGCTCAGTGAGATCCCCAAAACGTGAGAAGCAGATGGGCCAGAGGGGCCAAGGTGGCATGATCTTGGCAGGTGAGGAGGGACAATCCCTTGGACAGGTTACCATAGCAACTGGTTGGAGCAGGGGCAGGTTATCTGGATAAGGGTGGAGGAAGGGCACTGAAGGCATTAGCATTTCAATCCCTCTCCGATTTTCTGAACTCACTCAAATTGGCCTCCTTGATCCAACCTGACTTGATTTACCTATCTATACAGACTGCTTGTCTAATTCTGGCTTCACTTTAAGCTTAGTTTTTCTATACATGACCTTCTAGATCAAATTTGTTTTCAGCACCACAATGTCTCCTTTGGTATAGCTAACTTCTTCCAGCCTCTCTGGAGATCTGTTGAGCTAAATTTAAAATAGATAGGAGCTGTGAAACCATTCTAGCAACTGAAAGGGAACATAAAAGGAAATTTGCAGAGCTAAGTGCCTTGATGTATGCCTGTAATCCCAGGGGTTAGGAGGTTAAGGCAGGAGGATAGCTAGTTCCAGGCCAGCCTCAGCAATTTAGTAAGGCCCTAAGGAACTTAGCAAGACACTGTATCAAAATAAAAAATAAAAAATGGGCTGGGGATGTGGCTCAGTGGTTAAGCCCCTCTCGGTTCAATCCCTGGTACCAAAAAAAAAAAAGGAAATTTGCAGAACTAGCCTTCCACTGTGTCAGAGAGGGTTGTAGATGACAGCAATAAGCCCTGTTCTACCTATATTTAATGGATAGACTCCTCTTTGTAAGGTGGACTTCTTTAAATAATTAATATATTGGTAAGATCTCAACAAGCATGTTTATGAATAAATAAACAAGGCTATTAAAATATATAGTGAACTAACTACCTGTGGTTTATTGATTAGAATGCCCTGTGCTCATCTTGCTAAAAGAAATTCTGTACAACTTTAAAGTCTCCGTTTATTGCTAAATCTTTCAGATAAAACTTGAAGCCTACTCCCATTATTGCCCCTTCCTGCCTATGAAATAGTCTTACATTATTAGCTATTTTCTTCTTTTATTCAACTAGCATGTAGTGACCCAGACATGTAAAATAGAAGTTATGGGTGCAAAATGAATTAAACAAAGGTCTTGTCCTAATAGAACAAAGTATGTGTAGGAATATTAAAACATGCACATATTAGCTCCATAACTTTTTTCCTTAATTGGAGCACCTGACTGGAAACAGGAGAAACTAGATAATTGGTTGGTATAATATAGGGTAGCAGCCCAGCATGATGGCATACACCTGTGATCCCAGCCACTCAAGAGGCTGAGGCAGAAGAATCACAAGTTCAAGGCCAGCCTGGGTTATTTTAGCAAGACCCTGTCTCAAATTTTTTAAAAGAGGGCTGGGGTTATAGCTCGGTGGTAGAGCACTTGCCTGGCACATGTGAGGCCCAGGGTTTGATCTTTAACACCACATAAAAATACAAGTATTGTGTCCATCTACAACTTAAAAAATTTTTTTAAAGGGTTGGGAATGTACTTGGTGGTAGAGCACTGCTACATTCAATCCCAGCAACATACACACACACACACACACACACACACACACACACACACACACATGAAAATAATATAGGGTAGATAACATCATCAACAAGAAAACCAGGGAACCAGCACAGAAAATGGATTAGGAATCAAGAGAATTGGACAGCAGGGAGCAAAGGCAAGATCATGTCATACAAATAGCCTGCCCACTCCAGTCACCCTGGAACATTTCTAATCTTGTGTCTACATCACTCCCTCAACATTGTGCCCTGAGAAAGAATATGTAATTGGCCAATGTTCCCTTACCCTCTAAGCCTATAATGAAAGGAATTTCAGGCTCAGCCTCCCATCCAGACACATTGAGGGATGGGGCATGGACTATTCAAATGGAGAAGAAAAAAAAGGCCATATATTAGTTTTCCCTGGCTACTGTAACCAGCTACCATAAACTTAGTGGCTTAAAACAGTACAAATTTATCATCCTACAGCTTTGGTGAAGAGACATCCAAGGATGGTCTTAACTTTAATGTGTTGAGTCTTTAGCCTTTCTGCAGGCTCTAGAGAATCTGTTCCTTACCTTCTCCAGACTCCAGAAGCTCTCTGTATCTTAAACTCCCGTCTCCGTCCCTGCAATGGCATCTCTCCAACTTCAGCAGTTACTTCTCTGACCACTGCCTCTCTCTTTATAAGGTCCCTTGTAATTACATCGGCCCCACCTGGATAATCCAAGATAATTTTCTCATCTTAACCACATCACCAAGTCTCTTTTGGAAGGTAACATTCACAGGTTCAAGAGATTAGGACATGGGTGTATTTTCAGAAGTATTATTCTGTCTACTAGAGACGATCATAAATAAAAATAGTAAACATCCACTATACTTTTTTTTAATCATGTATCATTCTAATGTTCTGATGTTGCTGTCTATTAAGTTATGTCTTTCTAGGAAAAAAAAGCCCAGCCTTAAATAATTTAGGATCCTCAATATTTGTGTGTATACATATATACACACGTATATACATGAAGGGGGGAGAGGGAGATGGCCTAGAACAATACTTTCTTTTAAAAAATGCATTCATAAGTATTTCATAAAATTGATGCAAAACCTATTTGGGGGTCAACAGATGATGCAGATTATATAAAGTGAATGTATGCTGGTATGATAAAGAGGCCTCAAGATTTAATTACTTAAAGAAGCTAGAAGGTTATGGAGGAGTCAGGGGAGAGCAAAGGCAAGGTTGTTTACAGACCATCATACTTTCTACCCATAAAGCGGCTCCACTACCTGCTGCAGAAGGGTGTCTCCAAGTTGAATATAAACTTAAATCACCTGGGATCTTGTTAAAGAGAGAGTGAGAGAAAGATTTTTTTAATATTTATTTTTTAGTTTTCGGTGGACACAACATCTTTGTTTGTATGTGGTGCTGAGGATAGAACCTGGGCCGCACGCATGCCAGGCCAGCTCCCTACCACTTGAGCCACATCCCCAGCCCAGCAGATTCTCTTTCCACAGGTGTTTGGTAGAGTTTAAAATACTAATGAGCTCTCAAGAGACACTAATATTCATAGTCCAAAAATGACCCTTTTGAGTAGCAATGTGTTAAGGGTCTTGTCTTTTCCTTCTTGGTTGAAGATGGTTGCAGGCACATCCAAGTTTCAGCTCACAGAAAGAAGAAATAAAAGGGGGAAAAATATGGGGCTGGGGATGTGGCTCAAGCGGTAGCGGGCTCGCCTGGCATGCGTGCGGCCCGGGTTCAATCCTCAGCACCACATACAAACAAAGATGTTATGTCCGCCGAAAACTAAAAAATAAATATTAAAATTCAAAAAAAAAAAAAAAAAAGGGGGAAAAATACAAGAGAGCAATTTCCTTTTAAGCAAGAAGAACTACAGCAATGTTTACAAGTTATTTCCATTCACATTTCATTGGTGAAAACGGTTATATGGCCATGCTTAGCTACATGGAAGCCTGGGAAGTATAGTTTCT